AGTCTCACATCTGGTTTGCATGCTCTAATTTTTAGCTAGTAAGAGAATAAAGCACATGGGATAGGAAAACAAGCACTGAGGCCACTTGGAAAGTAGTATTCCCTTGGCTAAACAAAGGTACATTTTTATGCATGTGGTTTTCATTAAAATAATTCTATCACTGTAAGTTTAAGTGAACATTTACACAAGCCACTCCCCACTGCCTTAACAGAAATAGAGGAGCAAATTTCATCTGGATTAAAACAGGAAGCATTCCATACAAATTCCAGAAAATATTAGCCAGATATAATCTAATCGGGCTCAAATAAAAAGCTCAATGTTGATGAAAGTGAAGAAATTGTGAAGAACCTGAGCAGAATCCCTGCAGAAGGGAAGCTGAAAGAAGAATCCCTTTTCCCTCCAAAGGAGCCCTGGTGGTGCAGTGGTTAAGAGTTCAGCTGCTAACCAGAAAGTCAGTGGTTTGAACTCACCAGCTGCTCCATGGAAGAAAGATGTGGCAGTCTGCTTCTGTAACGATTTATAGCCTCGGAAACCCTATGGGGCAGTTCTATTCTGTCCTATAGGGTCATTATGAGTCGGAATTAACTCAATGCAGTGGATTCAGCAATGGGTTTTCCCTCTAAAAAAAGCCAATAAAGATGTGGTAGGCAGACAACAACTAGAAGGGAAATGGTCTGGAGACAAGCCTACAATGATTACTCGACAGAAAAACAATAAGAGCTTACTGTTGTGTAAATCAGCACATAAGGTTTAACATGCTAATCTAGCTTCTCAATCAAATAGTTGTTGACCCAAAAGCTAGAGGAGAGTAAAACCTAAGCGGCAAATTTCAGAACAGCAAGGAGACTGGGTGGAATTGGACTATCAGACATTAAACAGCATTCGGAAGTCATAGTATTTAAATTAATCTAAAACTACCAATGGAAAACCAAAACATTAATGAAACAGGATAAAGAAACAATGATATATAAAGGGAGCCTACTATAGGATGAAGATGGCACAGAACTGGGCAACATTTCATTCTGTAATACATAAGGTTGCCATTAATCGCTGCCATCTCAACAGTAACTAACAACAACAATAGTGTATGATAAAAATGGTACTTCCAATCAAGAAGGAAAAACAGAATGGTGGTAAGATAAAAACCTAGACATTTGGAAATAAACAAAACTGCAACCCTATCTTACTCCTTTTATCAAAATGTATTTCAGATGAATGAAATATTTAAATATACAAATAAAACCCTAAAAGTACTAGAAAGAAATATAGGTGAGTACTGTGATAATTCAGAGGTAAAAAGAGCACTTTTTTAAAATGACAGAAAGGTCAAATATTAAAAATCAAGGCATTTATAATTTTACCTACCTAAACTTAAACTTCTGTGCCACAGCAAACACCAGAAAAAGTAAAAATATATTTTTCAAAATATGTGACATTGAGCATTACCCCAACAGACAAAAAAATCTCATAAATCAATAAAAAGATGAACACCCAAGAGAAAAATGTAGAAAGGATTTGAACAAGCAACTCATAGAAGAAATACAATAACCCATAAAGAAGTAGAAAAATGTTGTCTCATTAGCAATTCACACAAATGCAAACGAAAATAAGCATTTATTTTACTATGTGTCAGACACTATCATCAGCACTTTACAAACTATCCAACTTAACCTTCACAACAGCACCAAAAATTAAGTACTGTTATTAGCTTCACTTCACTACAGATAGGAAATTGAGTAAACTGTAAAAGTCCCTCGGGTAATAACTGATGGAGCCAGTGAGGCACCCATGGAATCTGATCCCAGAGTCAGGGCTCCTAACAACTATGCTATATCATCCTTTAAAATAGAAAAGCCATTCTTTCTCTTATCAACTTAGAAGATATTAAATTAAAAAAAGAAAAACACTAAATGTTTAAGACGATGTGCAGATCCTATACACATGGTAGGTAGAATCATACATTGTTCTATTTTTCTAGAAAGAAGGGTGGCAATTATACATATTAGTATTTAAAAATGGGCATCCTTGAACCCAGCATGATCAACGTGTTATCATTGCCTGCTATCACCCCTTCCTTGGGAGAACTACTCCTCTTGCACTCCATGTGGCACTGCCACCAGTGAGTTCCTGGCCCCCACTGCCATCTCCCCAGAGAGTCTTCCCTGGGAATAATGTATGGATTTGGGGGAAAAAAATCTCATCTTCTGCTTGGGCTACAGTGTATCCTTCCTCCCACAC